TAAAACTTGCTCACCTTCCATATGCCACAAAAGCTTTTTGTTGGAGGTCCCTAGCTACAAACAACAAATTAGGTGAAAGTCATTCCTTTTTCTTGTGGCTGTCCTGAAACAAGGAATAACTTTAGCTCTTGTGGGGGAATAATTGTAACTTTTTAATGACTTTTATAATTGCAAGATTTTGGTCTCACTGGCTAAAATCCTGTTGCTTAGCATTGTACGTTGCACTAGAGTAGGTCCTCGGGACCACTGAGGATTTGCTGAGTCAACTGTTCAATTGATTCAAAAGGTCCTCCTCTAGTTGCAATTGAGGTAATGGTAAAGGTTGCCCTTGAGATTTAGTCCACTCTAGGGGACGGTGCTCATCCCCGTTTCCAAGCCGTAGAGCCAGCGCTTGTCCGTAGACCGTTTCCGTGGTCATGTGGCCAGCGCGACTAGACACGGAACCCTGTGACCTTCCCATCCTGTTGGTACCTATTTATCTACTCGCATTTTTACATGCTTTCGAACTGCTAGGTTGGCAGGAGCTGGGACAAGTGATGGGAGCTCCCTTCATCGGGTGGATTTGATCTTGCGACGGCTGGTCTTCCGACCCTGCAGCACAGAGGCTTCTGCGGTTTAACCCGCAGCGCCACCCGCAGTTGCAATTTACTGGGTTAAAATAAGTCACCGCTACAAGAGGCCCATTGGAATAAGTGCAAATGAAGGTGGAGTTGACTCACCAAATTCTCACTGATTTCGAGGGCCTACTCTAGCGCAACAGACTATGCGAAACAACAGGGTTTCAGCCAATGGATGGTGCAAGTGGAAGATTGTATGGGGCAAACACTGGCCCTTGTGCTTCAATACGGGTATGGAAACAATAAGCCAGATGTGAAGAAAGCCTGCTGTGTACCAGAGGTTGGCAGCTTGCAACCAGAGATGGGCGGATTGGCCCCACAGGTGTTGGGCAGGTGCCCCAGATTCTGCACCCAGCCTCTTCCTGCAGAAACAGTGCCACAAGCTTCCCGGCCCCCCCTCGCCTCCTCTGAGTGGGCGCCTGCCCAGCGCCTGTGGTCTCAGTCTGTGCCAAACCCCGGTAAGTGCCCTTCTCTACTTAGGTTCAACTAAGAGTACATTTCAGTTACTTTTAAGCTTCCAAGCTTTTTTTTTTTAAAAAAATAAATTACAACGGTAACTTACAATCTCTATTTTTTAATGCAAAATTACTTTTTAAAGTAACTTCCCAATCTCGTGCCTAAGTTACCACACCCAGTGACAAGGGATGATGGGATTTGCAGTCCAACACCTAGAACACTAGACAAGTGAGCAGGACAGACAGAACTCTTCCCTCCACTTCCTGCCTTCTTTCCACCCGCCCAAGTCTGGAGAATGTTTTTCAGTACAAAAAGCACTCTCATCAAGCCACCCCCCCAAAAAAAAATCTAATGAAAGATTATGGTAATAGAAAATGTTACCTTTTGATATGCACCTCAAGGGCCATACTGGCCTGCCCTCCGTTAGGCTCGTGTTCGACACGTATCACTGTGTCCAGAAAGGTCACTTGGATCCTCCGAAGAACTGGGGGAGAGAGAGCCAAGAATACCACGGGTCATGAAACACAGAATCAGGTTAATTCTCAGTGTTGTTAAAAAGCTCGCTTTAGTTTTGAGATCTTGAGAACCTGAGGAGAAGCCTCTGTTCCCTTCCTCCCTGCTCCATTCCAGCTATGCATAACTACAGCAGTCCTACTTTGGGAGAAAGGCAGGAATTGACTAGACCGCAGAGAATCTCATTTCTCATCAATTTCACTCCTGAGGGGGCTGAGCTTATTTGGGAAGGGTAGCTGCATTCCTAAGGCTGCTGTGTTCACTAGGCAGAAGTGGAAGCAGAAGGGGAACTTAGATGCCTGATGAACAGAATCACAGCAAAAGAATGCAAAACTGAATCAGCGCTGAAGACGCTGGTAGCCCCCACACTATTTTTGAGTGGGGATACAGGAAAACAGAAAAGTACACACCCCTTTTACTTAGGGTTGATGGTGGAAGACCTCCAACAACCTTGTACAAAATCCCCAAATGTTCATGTTCTGGAAAAAAAAGGTGGAAAGAGAAAGAGGGCCACTTCCCCTTA